TAACATAAACGTTCAGGGAAAATGTGTTTTGTGTTGTGTTTATTTGTGAAGATTATCACGATGAATAAAATGTGTAAGAATCCTGAACTTTTGCTGGTCTCAGAGCTTATTTTCTGCAATAATCCAAAAGCCAATGGAAAATTAGCCAACAGTTTGAACATAATTGTGTGTCGGCAGTGTGTGTACACAACCACCCTATAATGATAAAAATACACTCACTGCTTTTTTTAATCCCAGAAGTCATAAGCAGTGTCTCAGAATTAGCCGTTCCGTTTCTATACGTCACATTGAACAGGCCCCACTAGGGGTGCACGATTCAGAAAATGTCACGATTCGATTCGATACCGATTTTTTGTCTCAAGATTCGATTCAAAATCGATTTTCGATTCTCGATTCAAAAAACGATTCGCAGTATATAAATGTAGTTTACTTTTTCATATGTGATAGATTGCAGTAGACACAATTTCAAAGAAAAAAAGCACAACAAATTAAATGTAGTTTGATATTACTTTATATGTTTTCATACAAAAATAAAAACTTTTGCAACTAAAAAGTGCAAAGTGCCAAGCTTTGGCCAGCTTTCAAATACATTTAATTCAAGTTTAAAATAAAACTTAAATAAAAAGCTTTTACATTTAGCTTTAAAGTGCTGTAGTCAGATCAAACAATTATGCTAAATGTGGTTTAAGGACTACTTCAGCTACCAGGTTGACTGTTGAAATGTGAACTCGACTGGGCACATTGAACTTCCTAAAAATATATACTAATGTCATAGAAGCCTTGCGAAATTATTTTAAATAGATTTAAAAAAGCCACCGCTACTGGTAACATCTATCGTTAGATTGATTTGTTTAGATCCAGGGAAGTCGTTCATAGGCATAATTTGCGGGTATCTCCAGTTAACTAGCAGACCATTCATTTAGTTCGCTATTAAATAAGAGATCTGTTGTTTTTGAAATCAAGCTGCGCGCTCGTGTCCGCTGCTATCAGTGTCATGGATACAGTGTTCTCTGTGGCTCGCGCAGTCTTCACTCGGACACGCGCTTCAATCTATCGCCGTTGCAGTTTGACCAGCGGGCGGCAAGAACTTGCAATGTAACTATTTATCAGACCGGCCCTCGCGGCCTCGAAACACTACCGGACCACCGGTAAAATCCCGACTCACCCGATTGCCACTCCGCCCGTGCACGCCATTAAAAAAAAATATATGAATCGATTTTTGGAATTCTATGAATCGATTCTGAATCGGTAAAGATTGAATCGCGATTCAAATGTGAATCGATTTTTTTGCACACCCCTAGGCCCCACCCACGACTGCCAATGGACTCGGCTCTAATGGCCTTTATCACAGTCCGCGTGTTGTTACATCCTGCTCTGATTAGTAGCGTAAAGGAATTTCCACCTGCATTATTGTCAATAGACGGATGCCAGTTTTAAGAAGAAAAGTAAACTAATTGAGTTGAACTTAACAATAAACGTCAATATTTAAAACTGTTTATTTAGACTTGCATGACACCCTACTATTTATTTCATCTTTTATTTTATTGTGTAACCACACTATCAGAGAGACGCGATCTTCAGCGCTGCCAGTGCTGTCATGGGATTAACAAATAGCACACAGCTCAAGTTACAGCCAGAGGAATCATATGACTGATTTAATTTGATTTTTAATGTTATTTTTGCATTATATTACCACCCATTAATGTCACAGTACAATGCTATCCGATCATTGCACTCAAACACGGAGAATATGACTCGTTTACTATGATCAAACCATATATTTTTGAATAAATGTATCTGGGGTGGAAATATTCCTTTATTTAAGCAACAATCATTTCATCTAATTACTGATGATTGCATCTTAAAGTAAGTGCATGAAAAACTTTGAACATTATCGTTTAATAAGTTTCCCCCAAACCTTTAATTTAATCCCCCCAAAATAGACTTTAGTCATAATTAATATTTTAAGATTTGTCTAATTCTAATGCTCTTTAATGTGATGTTGTTTGTATTGTATTCTTGCAGTTCTGCAATAAAATAAGGTGATCAGACTCTGAAGTAGTGCGCTCCCCTTTAAATCACAAAATATGCGTCAGAATATTGAGACCCCTTTTTTCTTTGTTTCACAATACCCAATTACGGTAATCATTGTAAACTGAGGTTGGTGTCTTTAGAAGAAGTTTTACATAACATAGGCCTAAGTTTTTGGAATTTTACACAAATCAAAACAATCCCATACTGCACGGCCATTGATACAGGCTGCAGTAGAAGTTGTTTTACGCTCCTATTTGAAGCTTCCGCTTTTCAAACACGGAAGTGTGATATAAAGGTCTATTAGCATAGACCCCTCCCTGCTGAGTGAGCTATAAACAGTCCACCATGTTTATCTCATTGCCAGCCAGAGTAATTAACAGCAGCATTCAAGTAAGAAATGTATATAATAATGTAAGCTACTAAAGTTATTCAATCAAGGGCAGTGAGTGATTTTCTGTTTTTCCTTTTGTTGTTTGATTAATATTAACAGCATATCAGAAGGTACTAAATATATCGCTGCTTTCACCAATACACAGATCTAATATTCACATGTGATTTCTTTACTCTCTGTTTACATTCACAGACATAACCGACTGTTTATGTGAACTTTGTGAGTTTTTGAAATAACCTTGTGTATATGTGACAGTTGAAGCGCAATAAGACGTGAAAGAGAACTTAGTTTCATACTCTCGGGACGCACTGTCTGACAGCCAGCTTTCTGTGCGCGTGCTTCGGATGTGTGCGCTCGGAAAACCATATATCAGAAGTTTAAACATATGGCTTTAAAACGCATGCAGATAATAAACTTTCATGGTGATGAAGAACTGGAATATCACGTTAGCTTGACCACAATTGAGCTGAAACTTCACAGAGACATTCTGGGGACACCTGAGACTTATATTACATTTTGTAAAAAGGGGCATAAATAATAGACTAGGTCCCTTTCATATAGGGGAGAAGTATTAGAAACAAATTGGAGATGGGGTGGAGGAGGAATGTCAGATTTGCCAAATTGTCATGGTGGTGAGGTAAACTGCTGCTTAGATTGCGTCTTGTTGAAACATAATATTCTATAGTCTATAATTATATTCTAAACTATAAATTTCCACTTATTGTAGTCTTTATAACCTTTGCATCACTCCATCAATCTGTTCATAATCTTCTGTCCAAGTCTTCAGAACATCCATCCATCCCTTCTCCAAAGCCCTGCACGTATGGCCAATCTCTTCAGAACAGAGTAGCATAATTCAAATGTTTAAGAACTAAAATCTGATTATTAATTACAATTTTAGGGCATAATTTTAGCTTAAGCAGATACTCTGCAAGTAAATTCATGTCTGTGCTTTATTGGCCAAAGTCCCCTTATTGCTGAGAGCATATAGCCTTCATCATGTATGTATCTGGATACACTTTGTGAGTATCTATGACATGTTGTTTAATCCTTAAATGGTTTATGTATCCTGGGGGAAACAGACATTTAGAAAACTGGGGGGAAGGCAGGGAGTGTGTGGGCCTGATGTCTGAAAAAATACTGAAAAAAGGAGGCCCCGAAACCACTTAGGTCAGGTGACTTGTCTAAAAACTCTGGTATCTCCACTCACCATCTTTATGTGAAAGTAACATGGCGATAGCATGCAGTGAGAAAACCACTAAACAGGAGGTAAACACTTATCTTTTACACAATATACAACTGTGTGTGTAGAACTAAAAATAAAAGCAATATTTAGAAAATAATGAAACTACATTATTGAAGTTAAATTAATTCATTGCACATTAAATGATGAAATGTCTAACTGGATGAATTTGGTTACCCATTGCAGGGAAAAGGCAGGTGTTAGGAAGAAACAAACATAAAAATGGCTGTACAGTAAACATAACGTTAGTTGATAATGGAAGACCACAGCCGCACATGAATAAAACATGACAAAGCTGAAGAGAAGAAAAACCTGTAGGCCTTTTATTTTATAACTTCGTAGGCCTACTAGCAATTTTAAGCTAAAATAATATATAAAAAAACAGGGTGTGATTTTTTTGATGAGGAACAACCATACTGTTTGACGGCTATACAGTACTAAACCTAATAACCAAAACAGCACTAATTAAAAAAGACACACTGAGAGACTGCGAAAGGAGCTCATGACGGTCCAGTCGTTAAAGCGGACCGAGCGCCATCTGAAAGCTTGAGATAGGTCATCATCATTAGCGTTCCAACGCATCCACACCGGAAACAGCAACATCACTTTATATAGTCACACAATCACACATCAAACTCACTACACAGGGCCTACAACTTTCCTCCACCTTACCACAGAACAGATTTTATGAGACTTCATGAAAGCGAGCTCGCGTTTGTGCAGATATGTCAAGGCGTGGTGCCGAGAACACGAACTGGAAAAAAATCTTTCATGATCACACGTCTTGTCGCCCTAGCGGCTCTTAACAATAACAGTAGCTCAACACCGCGCGAGCTGGTCGAGCTCAACACATCAAGAGTACCGATACACACTTTATCCTGTTTATGGCTCGAGATTTCGTCCCTGGCTCTAATCTGTAAATGTAAGCGCAAAGTGCATTTATAATGGCATCCCATGATTGTTTCACGGCATGCTGTGAAAACTACGGCACGCGCTGGAATCACATTTTCAACCATATTATTCCAGTTCTGTTAAGCAACTGTCGTTTAAAGGGTGTTTGGGTGCCATTCGGTGCGTTATTGTGTAACGGTTGTAAGTTATAACGTTTCGTTGACTGCAGCTGTACTCTCTCTCTCTCTCTCTCTCTCTCTCTCTCCATCCTGCAACTCCTACAATAAAGAGAAATGAACAAAACCCCCCTGCGCTGCCTCTGCGCTTTCACATCCACTCAAATCACTACCAGCACAATCAAATAAAGAACGCCAAAAGAGTTGCAAGACACCCTTCCCAAAAGTTCACAAGATGAAGATGAAAAAACCGAGGTGCACTTACCCTTGTACTCACTCCTCCAGCAGTCAAACACCGATCTTCATACACTTACACACACTCACCAATTATTTAAATATATATCTACAAACAGCCGGGCATTTCACCACTAAAATCTTATCCCACGGATGAATTCGCTCCCTTTTGCGCCCTAAAGTTTTGTATAGTGTAACAGAAGGAATCTTCGCTTTGTTCGCTTGATTTTAAACCAAAAATACATAAAAAAAAAACAGAAACTGATATACAAAACAAGAACTCTTCTTCCATCCCATTCACCCCCAGCTTGTACGCTCGGCGTATCAATGCGCGCAGAAGAGAGATAATGGGACAGCAAAACCATGCCGTGTAACGCCCAAAATAACTCGCCCAACATAACACATTATGGATATTATTGGATATTAATTTAATATTGTCGCAAACCGGGGCGAAAGAAGTATTACCGAGCACGAAAGAACACTTAGAAGAAGAGAACTAGTTTATTTAACGGTGCGGCGAATTTATTTCACTTTGCCTAAGGAACGGTTGTAGTGCGCCCCCCATTGCCTAGGGAAAAGCCCCGGATGTAAACTCAGTGAAACTCATGTTGAGTGAAGTTACGATAATGTGTATCCAGCGTGGGCCAGATATATTGTTAGCATAACAGAGAAGAGATTTGCTGTCCACGTATTCACAGAAATAACTGTATTTTTAGGAAGTTTGTATGTTTTATCCATGATAATTCCAGTAAACCTATTGTATCCCCTCGTAAAGCCGCCAGAGCTTCTTAGACACATTTAAAACACAACGTTTCAGTTCAAAATGCTATACACAGAAATGTTTTAACAATTCATTTTTAAAAGCATTTTATTTTAATCTAGTAGTATTTCATGTGATATGACCTATACTTTGGTTATTTTTTGTGATGTAGCTGGAGTCTTGTTCAAGTGCTCTTGATGCAGTAGCCTACTATGCATTACATAATATGTTCAATAAACCATTTTCACAGCACACTTCCTTTCAATCACTGTGCAATATAATATATGTGCAATAGGTTATTCTTTGATTTTGTTGTGTATAGTGCATTTTGTATAAAGAGATATTTTTTATAAAGACACACTATTTTTACTTACTACAATTATTTTTCTTTCTTTATTTGATGTCAGTAACTACCAGAAATGTGACCAGTTTTCTAGGGGCATGAGTTATGAGAGGTGAACGGCAGGGGGAGACAGAGGGCTGTGTTTGTGAGCGATCAATCCTGCTCTCTCAGCACCGTTTTCTTTTCTAGGCCTTTACCTCCTAAACTGGTCCACTCTCTTCGTCATCAGCACCACTGAGTCATCGCAGTTCGCTTTGAATTATCACTATGCACAAAAAGAACAGGAAGTACGAACCTCAACATTTTTACATCCATTTAATAATGAAATACAGAGTAGAAGAGTGACATCACTGTCGAGACAGAGCGAACATTCATGCTGAAGCAGTTGAAAGTAATATGAGAGATGAGAAAAGAGCATTTTACCAAAGAAAAATATATTCTGTTGTGGTTGAAAATGTAAACAAAAAGCTGAAAATAATGGCAAACCAGCTACTGATGTTCTAATGAATGTAATTGTATCAGTGCTTTCCAAGTGTGTGTTTAATTGCAGAGCTCTTCTCTGATGTTCCTGTTTCTTTTCCTAGCACTCTTTATTTGGAGGCAGGATGAGTTGAGGCTGGCTTTGTATATAATCCACACATTTCCAGGAGTGAGGTCAGTGAAAGTAGTTTTTTACTATTCTGGGATATGCTATGCATACTGATTCATTGTCTTTACATTACATAGAAATGCATAAACGACGCTTTCTTACCAAAGCGCTCATGTGGGAATACACAATTTTTCTTCCCTAATGTTACGTATATCTGGCTTCTCGAACCAGAAAAAAATGTTGGGTGGGACTTGATTTTGTCCATTGGGAATTGATTGGATGCTTGTGGTTTGCTGCTGTGATCTCATGTGAGTGACAGGTTTTCCCGCCCTCACACCATTAAACACATAATCAGAGAAGAGATGGCTGCATCCGAAATCGCATACTTCCTTACAGTAGGCGAAAAACAGTATGTGTCTATTCTTTTATGAGTGCTGTGAATTCGGACATACTTTTGTTACATAGCTATACGCCGCCTACTAGAAGGTAAGTAGGCTATGCGATTTCGGACACAGATTATGTCGTTGCAAGAGGGAGGGGTAATTATTTTGATTAAAGATTATGAGAGCACATGAATTAAAAATAAATAAATAAATAATGATGTGCAGGGATTAATTTAATAAATAATTTGTATTTATAATAAATAGCCTACACTGTTAACTTTCGCTGTAGATTTAGCAGCACAGTACTGTAAAAACCTACAGTACAATACTGCATTTCTATATTACAGTAAAATACCGTAATTTGCATTGCATTCTGGGTAATTTTGTTTGAGCGGGAACATTTTACAGTACATTTTAGTGTTGCTGTAACCTAGCTGTAACCTGGCTGTAACATGCCAGGCAAATATACAGGGTTGCTGTAAACAGAGCGCGCGCGCGCCGCCTGACTGTAGTCAGAGCACAACTGCGGCAGTTCACTCACTCAGCGCGGATATCTCACTGCTCACTCTGCGGATATCTGGAAATTTGGTAAGTTAATTTTGAATTTTATAATAAGGTTTTAGGATTTCACGCTATAGTGTGTAGTCTATATAGCTTTTAATGTGAAATGACAGTGGAAGTTTAGCCAGCGACGGTGGCAAAAACTGTTAAGTTTGTTAACGTTATCTGCTCTTTCACCCCGCTGCTTGTCCTGACATTTTCAAATTTAACGTTATAACTCCGTGAATTAACATTCCCTTACGGTTTATTTCGACCAAAACAGATTTGGTGATTGTTGGAACGGTGGAAAGACAAATCAAGATGGTCTTTTGTGAGTTTTATTTTGTTTCTGTCGAGTTTTAATTAAATGTGTTTTACGATGGTCTGCGAGATAAAATTACTGCATTTGACATGTTAGTCTGCTAACTGTTAGGCCTATCTCTGTAGGGAACACCCGAGCCTGTCAGTGGTAAAAACAAGCACTTATAATAGACATAACGTTATATACATTTTGATTAAACTGCTATATTTGCGGTCCGTTTCCCGAATGACGAACTTGATGATTTTATGATCAATACTGGACCAAATTGAAGTCGTTTAGACACAAAATTAGACGCGTAAAAATAAGGCGCTTAAAAATACTGCACTTTCCTTTGCAACGCAAAATGGGTGATTTATTTGGGCTTAGAGAGATGGGCTTAGAGAGATTGGCTATTGGTACCAGTTTAGCCTTTTACTTCATTTCTATTTAGGCAGGAGACCCAGTTATATTGATTATTATAATAATTAAACATATAAATAAAGGTGTAAATTGTTGAAAAACTTCAAACTATCAGAGTTAATGATCTATTAGGCAACAAAGACAAGTAAACTGCATACCAAAAAATCAAGTTAGAATATTTAGAGTGGTCAAGTGAATGTATTGTAAGCAGATTTATGAGATATTTCCTTAACAAGAAACACATAACCGTTAACTGAATACTATTTATTTTGATTTCTTACAGCTCTACAGTGTGGGACAATTTGCAGCCTGGGAAGGAGTTTTATGTAAGTATTAGCCATGTTAATACAATGTTTTAAACTTAAAGTTTTAAAATCTAAAGATTCCTTTTTTTTTTGTGGCTGTTTTTGTTATTTCTACAGAATTTTCTCTCTTCCACTGTCTGTCTGCTCATCTTTGGTGCTGTGGCTAACAGATTTTGTCATGTGTTTTTGTGTGTCATGTCTTTTTCAGTTTTGGTCATCGGTCCAAGGTTCCAGTACCACCTCAAAATCCCAGCCAAGTTTTTAAAGGGATACTCTACTGGTTTTTCATAATAAACTATGTTATTCCCTTAACTAAGACGAGTTGATACATACCTCTCTCGTCTCAGTGCGTGCACTAAATCGCTGTCTTGCGGCGAAACTTTGTTAGATCTTATCTCAGTCCTGTTCATTCAATACGTGCCCAGAAGAGAAGCGACCAAACACCTCCACGTTTTCCCTATTTAAATACAGTTACACGAGTAGTGTGACTCGACCTAGGACGATGACACAAAATAAAACGTTGCGCTTTTCTAAGCGTGTAAAATGGATAACTATATTGTATGGCAGAATACCATAGCAAGTGCTTGAGAGCACTTCGACTCGGTGCAGGAATATCATCTCTCGTGAAAAGTCCTCTCCCTCCGCTCCCTCTCCTCCTCCCTCTCATTTCAACGGGAGCGGACTTTTCACGAGAGATGATATTCCTGCACCAAGTCGAAGTGCTCTCAAGCACTTGCTATGGTATTCTGCCATACAATATAGTTATCCATTTTACACGCTTAGAAAAGCGCAACGTTTTATTTTGTGTCACCGTCCTAGGTCGAGTCACACTACTCGTGTAACTGTATTTAAATAGGGAAAACGTGGAGGTGTTTGGTCGCTTCTCTTCTGGGCACGTATTGAATGAACAGGGCTGAGATAAGATCTAACAAAGTTTCGCCGCAAGACAGCGATTTAGTGCACACACTGAGACGAGAGAGGTATGTATCAACTCGTCTTAGTTAAGGGAATAACATAGTTTAATATGAAAAACCAGTAGAGTATCCCTTTAAGTATGTCCAGCTACAGCTGCAAGTCATGCAGTTTCTCAACCTCTCTCTTAAATGCGTTCACCATACATGGTTTTAATAGTGTAATTGATCAATAATTTTTTTTTTTGACAAGAACATTGTTTGGATTGTCTTTTGATTTGCTGTTATTCTGAAGTTGCATTATAATATTATTACCTATAGATTTATATACTGTAATAACTACATATTATATAGTTATAATATCATTAGTAATTTGAAAATTACAATGTTTTGCAATAATGTATCAATATATCAATATAGATATTACAGTACAATATCGTATAAATTACAACAGAAGCAGACAAAAATGACAAAATACAGTAAAAATACAGTACAATACTGTTTTGTAGTTTACAGTACTGTTCATGTGTACTGTAAATTGAATTACAGTACAGTTACTGTAAATCGAAATACAGTACCTTGCTGGCAACCTTGCTGCCAGTACTGTACTGTAAAAATACAAGAAAATTGTTAACAGTGTACTGCAATATTCCATAAAAAAGAATTTTCAATTTTGATTTCATGGGGACTCACTCGACCCTTCTCGACCTTTACTATCCATTGCACAGCAGTGCACAAGGGCAGCCATCAGAATCCTCAGCAGCCTCTGCTATCTACCTTTCTT